GTTCTTATATTTAAAAACCGAGATGTATTATGAGCCAATTAAATTGAAGATTACAGGATGCATAATCAGATACTTACGGCAACTGGAAGATAATCCGAGAGGGAAAAGAACATTCCTCATCACTAGGCAGGCATCGCAGATCTTGAGTTTCATAGATGAAATAGCAGGCGGCGTTTTGTTGACATACAAGGTCACAACCTTGTGGCCACCATGAAAGTTCAAATCCAGAGGAAATCAGTGTGTGAATATCAGCATAGGATTTGACTCCGCCAGGCACCACTGACTCCCGATCTGCGGCAATGAGGGTCACCGATTTCAAACGACAGTGAGGTTTAAACTGGTGAGCCAGCAAGTTTCCCAACCACAGCATAAAGATGGCCTCCTTTTTCACACAAGGGGCCGCATCCACATACGCTCCGTCCTCCCTCACTGCAATCGCTGCATTTCATGTACCCCACCTGATCGAATAATACAGATTCTGTTTTTTTGCCGGTGTACAACATAAGCTCTGTAGGGATTTCTGCTATTTCCATTATCGAAATCGAATAGGGATAAGGAATAGAGAGGAAGGGAGGAGCAGTTTCCTTTCTGAATTGCCAGGATCTACGAGTCGGATTGTGAAGTTTTTGTAGTTTATTCCCAGAACTCTGTATGTTCCATTAGACACATGAATCAGAGGGACGTCTTTTCACAGGTCAGCTCGTAGTCGGGGTGGCCGCAGTCGAGGGGTCATCCCGTAGTCGGAATGGATATGAGATGTTTGTGAAATTCCGCAACGAGAAGTACAGAATTCGTAGTCATGTTCAGAACTCAGAGCTCCTTTCCTTAGAAGCGGAGAGAGCCACAAACTAGGCACAAACACCATAACCCTTTCTCTATTCCCATCGCTGAGTTAGTTGCTTGTGAATGCTTAGCCTTTTATTCTCAATTCCATCCCATCCTTCTTATTTATATCACTCAACTTCCTTTTTTTCTCTACTTCTTTTTTTTTGGGCTCACCTATTTTGGGTGATGTTTTAGTATAACTTTACCATTTTTAAGTTATTTTATTTCAGAAAAGATATGCTACTATAATTTAAATGTAAAACACAAATTCTGTTTCATTAATTTTATCAATTAGAAGATCATATAAAAACATGTCTGTTCCCATGTGTGGTAAGGCATTTCTCATTTCGTGGCGGGAGATTTGTTGAAAATCCTTCGCTGCTTGACTCCTTTTATCGGGTGTTCCCTTCATCATCTCACACTACTTACTCTATAGATAGATAGGAATCTCAATCCAAGTTTCACATTACAATGTTTTGGTGGGGCAGATTTTTGTTGCTGGTGTTATACTTCTGAAACAAGGGAAAGGTGAGAACCAGCAGGTATCTCATCATCAAACTCTTCATCCATTTGGTCTTTATTATAGTGACTCCGCATTAATGGTTGAGTTTCCTTCTATTCCTGCTCTTGAAGGAGTCAGTCTCCTTGTCAAAAAAATAGATAAGAAATCCCACATCTTAGAAGTAGAGGATCCAGAATTTTGTCTTCCCAGACTATTTCTACAACGCCGTCTCTACGATGAATCCAATATTTATCCTTTAGAGTACCATTATCCCCATGTGTCCCCCCAATATGTTACTTCTTCAATTGTTCTTCCTCTGGATCCGATTCCTGCCCGATTCATGCTTTTGGCCCCCAAGAAAATTTCTGTCTGGGGACCTAGTTTCCTGCCCCCATGATACGGTTACGTTCGCCAATATCCGTAGTGGATCTTCAGGGGAACTCCTTAACACTCAAACTGAACCAACCAAAATCCAGCAATATACTCAGAATTGGTTAGCAGGAACAGGTGTGACTGTAGACTATGATTTTCCTCTCTTTTTTCTTTTTTAATTCATTAGGCTTTGTGATGTTGCTCGGGTTGATATTAAATGTTCATTTGTTGTGCTCCTATAACTCCAGGTTCCATTGTCCTGGTTTTGTTGTTCGTTGTGTGCTTCTACATATGCCGCTACTTCAAGAACAAAGGAGATGATCAAGTCAGACTTGAAAAGTTTTTGAAGGACTACGAGGCACTTAAACCTACTAGATTCTCTTACGCTGATATCAAAAGAATCACAAAGAGTTTCAAGCACAAATTAGGTGAAGGTGCCCATGGAACAGTTTTCAGAGGTAAGCTTTCTTCTGAAATTCAAGTGGCTGTCAAAGTACTCAATAATTCGGACAGCGATGGACAAGACTTCATTAATGAAATTGGCACAATCGGCAAAATTCATCACATCAATGTTGTTCGTTTGCTGGGCTTTTGCGCTGATGGTTTTCACCGTGCTCTTGTTTATGACTTTTTTCCAAATGGTTCCCTCCAAAATTTCATATCTTCACCAGATAACAGAGAAAATTTCCTGGGATGGTCCAAGCTGCAACAAATTGCTCTTGGCATAGGAAAGGGGATTGAATATCTTCACCAAGGCTGTGATTACAGAATTCTTCATTTCGATATCAATCCTCAGAATGTGTTATTAGATGAAAATTTCACCCCCAAAATTTCTGATTTTGGTCTAGCTAAATTGTGCTCTAAAAATCAAAGTACAGTGTCAATGACAGCAGCAAGAGGAACCCTAGGATATATTGCACCTGAAGTTTTCTCTCAAATTTTGGAAATGTATCATACAAATCAGATGTTTATATTATGGGATGCTGCTCCTGGAAATGGTTGGTGGAAGGAAAAAATGTTGATATGAATAAAGAAACTGTTCAAGTTCTATACCCAAAATGGATCCACAATTTGGTTGAAGGAGGAGATATAAGCATTCATATAGATGATGAGATTGACATTAGAATTGCTAAAAAGCTAGCAATTGTAGGACTTTGGTGCATCCAGTGGCATTCAATAAACCGTCCTTCCATGAAAACAGTGATACAAATGCTGGAAGGAGAAGTAGACAAATTAAAGGTGCCTCCCACTCCATTTGATTTTACTGCCTCAACCAATACAAGTGTCATTATTCCTGCAAGACATTTGAATTTAGAGTTAGATGTGATTCATGAATTAGAATAAATAAATATGTTGTCTTGCCAAGTATATGTAACTTTTTATCTTTATTGAGAATTTTTTTCTAAAGTTTATGAATCTTTGTATTATCAATGCATGTGTGAGTTTATGCTCGCTTTAGCATAGTAACACTACAAAAAAAAACAGTTGATTAGCGACGGAATTTGAGACGAAAACAAATTCCATCACTAATTTCTGACGGAATTTGAGAAGGAAACAAATTATGTTGCTAATTTCTAATAGAATTACAACGGAAATTCCATTGCTGATTTTTCGAAAGATTAGTGACAGAATTTCTGTCCGTCGCTAAATTCCGTCACTAATCCGTTAGAAAATCCGTCAATAAATATTTAACGATAGAATTTTTTTGTCAGAAATTTCCGTCACTAATTCTGTCGCTAAATTGTTTGTCATAGAAGTTTTATCACTAATTCCGTCACTAATCCGTTATTAATTTTAAATTTTATTATTTAAATTATAATCTTACAAAATTTATATAATAAAAATTAAGAATATAATGATTTAAAAACATTTTTAATTATAAAATAAATTGATATATTTGTGGAGTTGGTGTTAATAAAGATATCATCATCATTCATGTCATCATTATGTATATACTGAAAATAAAAGAGAATTTCTTAGAAAACTTGTTTATATTTTTGTTAAAATAAATTCCTCTTGATTATTAATAATAATTAAAAATATAATAAGAATATTAATAACTTTCTTATACAAACTGATATAAGAAAGAAATAATTTATCATATGTACAATATATTGAAATATATAATATATGATAGAAATTCAAAACTAAAAAATAAATTTATATGAACACAAACTAATATTGAAGTGAATTTGAATTTCAATTATTAAAACAATAAAATTTAATTATGATATAATTAATACCTATGATATAAATTGATTTTGGTCTTCAATACAAAAACAAATAGTTACAAAGAATTTTAAGAAAATAAATTACATAGGATATATATACAAGTAGGAGAATATTGTTTATTATAATCTATTCAAATTATTTAATTTTTTTTATAGAATATTTATTAGATTTTATTATAGTAGTTATTTTTTCAATAACAAGATGTTTTTGACTAACTGTAAATGATTTTCTTCAAATATATAAAACACATATAAATAATATAATATAATGTAATATATATACATATATAATTAAATTGTATATCTTATCAATGTTAATTAAAAAATAAATTTAAAATTATTTATAAAAAAATTATTTATGATTTAAATTCAAAATTAGTGTCCTTAGAAATTAAAATTACATTGAAAATATTTTTTTAAAATAAAACATTATAAAACAAATAGTAAAACAAATATTTAAAAATTATTTTTTCATTAAAATAGTTATGATTAAAATTATCATATAGTATATTTTTAGTTTTTAATAATATATATGTATATATATAATTGTTTGTGTAAAATAATATTATATTTTTAATTTTATATAATAAGTCAACAGGTTCATTACAGCTCAACTGGTAAAGCCACACGCGCACACAGAAGAGGTCCTGGGTTCGAGCCATGGAGAAGTCACTTTGAGGAGGGAGTTATTTGAGGAGGGAGTTATGTGGTGGCGACCCTGATAGCACATGTGGAGCACACGTGGCAGTAGAGGTGAGGTGGCATCACACATGGATGGTTATTGGTGATGACGTGGGGATTGGTAGAAGTGCCGCGTGGCATTTTAATTTTTTTTTTTCAAAATTGGGTTAGTGACGGAAAATTTCCGTTGGTAACTAGTGACGGAATTTTCCGTTGCTGAGGAAGCATTTTCCCTATTGTTCCTTATTAGAAAATAGACCCATGTGGTCAAGGTTGGTCAACATTATGGCACCATTATGCATTTTTTTATTATTCAAATATTATATAGTTTAGTTTATTGGAGTTATCAGTTGGTGCTCATTATTATGTTTTCAACAAATATCTATTTCTTGTGAAAAATCATCAGGCACATGTTTCAAATTGTATTCCTTTCCATTGGCAAGGAAGGGCCCTGTCTTTTAATTTTACTGATTAACATATTTAATATAAGGCACATGTGATCTCGTAATCTAGAACAATTACACGAAGACCTAATTTTCTATATAAAGTTAGATCTGCAAACCCACTTATCCTGACATTTAAAAGCATTTTAGCATTATTAATCACTTCTCATACTTTCTTTCTCTGCATTCACATCTAAAAGCATTTTCGAAGCATTTTCCCTATTGTTCCTTACTAGAAAATAGACCCATGTGGTCAAAGGTAGTCAACGTTAGGGCACCATTATGCATTTTTTTTTTATTATTCAAATATATTATATGGTTTAGTTCATTGGAGTTATCGATCAGTTGGTGCTCATTATTATGCAACTCTAGCCAATTTTTTATATTTGAAAGTGGTAGTGGTTAGATGCCACCAAACATCATAAAATAATCCCACGTTATAGGAATCTCAACTTAAATAGGTATCTGCCGACCATTAATATCAATAATATATAAAAATATATATAATAGCATTGGCGTGAATGCTTATCTTTTAAGAAAGAGGCCATTTCACATTTGTGCTCTTCATAATTGGAGTCTAAAGATTAAAAAAATATAATATAATGGAATGTGCTGATCACATATATGTGTGTATGTATTCAATATGCTTTGACGTATCATTCTAGGCTAGATTTTTTTTTTAAATCCTGGTCAAAAAGATGTTTTTTTTCAATTTATATATAATATCATTAATTTTATTGAAAATGTCTATGTATTATTTGTATATTCTAATAAGCAGTGTAATGAAGCAATGTAAATATCTGATCAATGTAAAGTTAAAAATGAAATTTGATATATAAAAATTATATTAATTATTACATTCATCAACATCAAAATTCTTAACCAAAATTTTTTTTGTTAATCATTAGAAAAGTGATCCATGTATGCTGTCAAAGTTCAACATTTGGGCACTACTAGTGGAGAGAAGATGAATGAAAATTAAAACAGTGTTTCAAACTAACACATCAATTATATTAACGCGTTAACGTGTGAGAATAAATAAACATCACCCCTTGATATGGAATGTTAGTAATATAAATTTACTCCTTTTTGTAGTGGATGATGAAAAAAAAAGTACAAACTTCCCATTTATGTTTATTAAAAAAAATAGAATTTAACTTTTGCTTTATAATTTTAATATATAAAGGTTATATAGAAAAGATAATTTGACCAGTTTTTTAACCTATCTAGTGACCTTGTGGAGCACTAACCTCGCAGTACACATATAATGACAATAATTTATAAGTAATAATGGTCATTATCATGCATGTGAGTATGGCATCTTAATTACTTCATTTAGGCAGCCCAATTTTAATTTAATTGCAGTATTTTAACGGGAAGAACTTTACATTTCCTGACAACTCAGTAGGCACGTGACATTTAATTATTTTTAGGCTTGATTAAAAAAAAGGTACTCCTCTTATTCTTAATGTAAGACCCGTTTAACTAATTTGATTAAATTAAGAAAGTTAGATAAGTTAAATAATTATAAGAAATATGACATGTTTTTTTTTAAAAACACCATCATCATCTTCCTTAACATCCTCCATCCCTCTCCTACTTAATTACGGTTAAGAGAGTATCAATAGGGGTAATTTAGAAAAAAATTAATAAATATGATAATTAGGTTTTATATTTAGAACCAAAATCAATACAACAGTTAGATCCTATATTAAACTGGAGGAGTATCGAAAACAATTACATGAAGAGCTTCATTTTCTCTACAAAGCTAGATCTGTAGATCTATAGTAAATCTGGTCGTATAATCAAAAGCATTTTAGCATTATTAATCACTTCTCCCATGCTTCCTCTCTCTACATTCACACAACACCAGATATGCAAAAGAACTTCAGCAGAGAAGCCACGCAAGAAAAAGCCATGTTATTGGTAAGTTAATTTGCTTTGGAAGCGAATTTATTTGCCCCTTAATCTTGTTCATTATTAGGAAATGGATCCATGTGGTCAAAGCTAGTCAACAGATATGAATTGTTTGTTTTTTCTTTTATTATTCATATATTACCACCGGTGCTAGATATAAGAGTTAAATTAAAAATTCAATTTGGTCTTATAAGACTCTAATCTACCTTGTCTTTTATATTTATTCATTTTTTTTAAAAAAATAGTTCCTATAGTGATTGCACATGTTAAAGGGTTTTTATTATAATACACATGATTAATGATAATATTTTAGGAAAGACAGTACCCACTTATTACAAATAACTAATTTAATTAATTTTCTCAATATTTACAATTTATTTATCTACTTTTTATATTAAGGACCGGAAGTAGCATATTATATTAGCATCTCCTATCCTTGAGAGCTAAGCGAAAATTCAATTTGATCATAAATATAAAATTTCAATCCGCTTTGTCTCTAATATTTATCTATTTTGCTCCCAAGTAATACATATTAAGAGTTTTTATCTAGTGGTGGTTCCAATACACATTATTAATAAAGATATTTTAAGAAAGATAACATCCATTTATTACAAATAGCTAATTTAACTTTTTCTTAATATCCACAAATTAGTTATCTAATTTTTATATTAGGGAGCCAAGCAAATATATAGTTTTAGTTACCAAATTGACCCATATTATATGATAACTATATTGACTCCTTCATATTTTTTTTTTTTAATTTAGCGCATGCCATGAAAAGATGCTACTAAACATCATGTAAAAGAAGCCCATGCTGATAGGAATCTCAATTTAAATATGAACGATTAAGATTAATAATATATTATGGCATTGGCGCTAATGATAATCTTTTATTAGAAAAAGACCTTTTCACATTTGTGCTCCTCATATTTCAATATATACATACAAACACATGTATGTATATATGTGTGTGTGTATACACATGTTTTGACGCGTCATTCTAGACTAATTGGTTTTGTTTCGGAATACCGACACATATCCATTTTATTGAAATTCTTTATGGATTTGTATATTCTAATTAATGTAATGAGATATTCAGTTGAAAAAAAAAACATAAATAGTAGATCAATTTATTAAGATACTAGTTTTATCAATCAATTAAATAAAACAAAGTTAAAAGTGACGTTTAATATATAACTTGTTCTCCAGCCAAAAATTGTATGACTTATTCAAATGAAATTTTTTTTACTGATGTTTTAATACATTTAAATACCTAGCTATGCCACCAAATCATTTGAATATTTGAATTGATATTTAAATACTTTAATAAGTTGCGACAATTCTACGAAATAAAACAAAGTTAAAACTTGGTGGTCATGCAATATGGTTCCTTTTTAAGGTACCTCTTAGAGTTGAAACTTCTTGGTTTTGCCGATGATCAGTATGATAATTTGTTGAAGGACAAAGGGAGGAAATTATGTGAGAGAGAATTTAGAATATTTACAACGAAATCTGAAAGAGTTGAACAGAGAGGTGTTTCAGAATATTCATGGCAAGAACCAACGCCTGGTGGCTAAGATTGAGGGAGTCCAATGGAACAATAAGAGTACGAAGGAGCCTTATATCCTCATTTGTTTGCAACTGAAAACAAGTTACAAAGGAACAAGCTTGAAGTTGTGTTGAAGGAAGACGAATTATTAGATATTTTGGTTCCAAAAATCAAAAGCCAAGTGTATAAATTATTTTGCATCCTCCTCTGGAATAATGCCATGAGAAGTCGTGGAGAATAAAGATGTTGTTTGGTCACAGAACTAATTTTTTTAACGTCTTTAAATTAGTTATCTGTATATGTATATTTCCACTTCATAGAAAGTCACGATTTTCATATGAAAGTTATAAATAGTACAACTTATATTAGATTTTGGGGAAAATTAAGGATAAATCTCTCATTAAAAATTTAATCGGCAAATGGGACCTAAGAACTTTGTGCAACTTAACTTCTATTATGTGTAACTTAAATTTTTTTGTGTGCAATTTATCTTCCCTTATGTGCAATAATCTTTGTACGATGTGCAACTCAATTTTTCCTTGTGCAAATAGAATTCTCTTATATTCAAATCATTTCTTTATGTGCAAACTAATCCCTTATACCAGAATAATTTTGTGCAAACCATCTTTTTTCTGCACAACTTACCTTCCTTTGTGTGCAACTAATTTTTCCTTGTACAATCAATCATGTTAGGGACTATTTGCCAATTAAATTTATAATGAGGAATTTATCCCCAATTTTTCCTAGATTTTATGGGAAGCATGCTCACAACATAATTTAAGGAAAACCCTTTTCTTTTTTTTGCAATAACTATGCATATTTTACAATAAACAGGTGATATCATGTGTTTTTTTTAATTAGTTCCAGAAGTAGTATATCGCAATGAATATATATATATATACTTGTCAATTTTGCTATAAAAATCAAATAAATCAAAAAAAAATATTTGAAATTCCCTATAATTGTACATATGAACATACGATAGTTTAGAATCTTACGACGATGAATATCCTTAGAAAATGGCAAACCTGCAAGAGAAAGTTCACAGACGTTAGCTATTACACTGAGGGCGGGACATATTAAAATAATAATAAATTTTAAATTTTAAATCAAGATATTTTTTAAAAAAAATTTCTTCCAAATGTTATGCAGTTACACTAGCCTACATGACTATTTATATTCTTTCAGAAAAATTAAGTTCTAAAAAAAATATAATCATAAAAAAAATTTAATAACAAATGAGCAGTTTATCATTTTTTTTTACATTAGAAATTGTCATTTCAAATGGTTCAGTATGTTCCCTTTTTTTTAGTAGAGTAAGCCCCATTAAGTCTAATAAAAATCTCCCCAAAACAATTAAGCCAACATAATAACACAACTTATTTTTAAATTTTCCGCAGTTACACAAGCCTTGCCTAATTTATACATATAAAAAGAATTATTTAACTTATCTATTTATAAAAAAATGTGTATTAATTTTTAAAAAAAAATCTCTCATTGGAAAAAAAATTAATAAATTAGAAAAATAATGAGATTGACACCATATATATATATATATATATATAAGATAAAAACAAACTTATTAACAACTACCTCTAGTCTTAATTATAAGACCTCATTTGTAATCTACAAACAAGATCGTATAATTAAGACCGGAGGTAATACTTCCTAATTTCAGGTTGAAGAGAATGATGAGTTCGAGACATTACCTGCAAGAATTCCAAGGAAAAATGCTGCAAAGAAATTTTAACAAAGTCAAATATGCTCTTAGGCTCTTGGCTATTGTTAGGGCAGTTCAGATTAAATATTAGGAAAATCATAAAAAAAAGATCTTGAAATTTAAAAAATACAGATAAAAACCCGTGACAACTTTACTATGAGTTTGGACAATTTCATGACTTATTATTATTTTCAAAAGCCATAGTAAAGTTGTTAAGGATCCTTATTTGTGTTTTTAAATTCTAGAGTCTTAATTGCGATTTTCCCTTAAATATTTTTATTTTTAAATTTTAAATTTTTAAAATTACAAGGAGAGAACTTCAGGTCAATTGGTCAAATATTACTTTTATTTTACATTAATTAATTATTTAAATAAATAAAAAATTAATTATAATAATAAACTAAAATTAAATATAGATTATCTAATTTTATTATTCCTCATCTTTTTTATCTGTCATTTCATTTCCTACTAAAATAATTTCTTAAACAATATTTTAGATGCTTAAGCCATATTATTCTGTCCACTATACAACTCCCAATCACCACCTTATTCATCATGTTAACAATCTATTCGCATAACTTTATCAGATCAATCACATAAGAAATCAATACGTGTGGATGAATTGTACGAACATCTAAATGTTTTCTGGCAAAAACTATATGAAATTTTTTCTTAAACCGTTTAAAATTAAGTCACTTCTATTAATTAGAATTGTAGAGAATAATTGAAAATAATTAATATGTTTGTTCTAAAATGATAATGAACTTTTTCAGTATAAGTTTTTTTTTTCCCCCCGAATGTCACCATCAAAGTCATGAAATTGATTCTTGTTGTTGTTGTTGTTATTCAATTGTAAGAATTAAAAATTGGATAAAACATATTACCTTGTACACAATAGCTCAGATATGCCGCGTTCCCTGAGGCATTCAATAATGGAACGCAATATTAACTCCAAAAAGAATGTTCAAATAATTTTTAAAAACTAAATGAAAAAAAAATAGTAAATAGTAATTATAATTACAAAATATAACACAAGGGGGAAAAGGTAAAAAACAAAGAAAGGGATCCAGAAATATGAAAATAAATTGTACTCCCTAGTCTCATATGTAACTTGTAAGAAAGGTTAACCTGAAATTTTTTTAAGTGTAAATTTGTTTCAAAAATTTAAAATTATAGCAAATTTCCTCATACCATTAAAAAACTAATATTGATAGTTAAAATAATGATGTTGACCGTTAATGTTTTTAACAGGAGGCAACACTGTTGTGATTTTAAACTTTGGGTACAAATTTGCACAAAATTTTTTTTTTTGGATACCTAGCACTCCTAAGTACAAATTTACAAGACAAATTTATATCTTAACCTATACAAAAACCAATAACTAAAATAGTACGTGGATTAATCGGACGTCCCCCAAGGGACTAGTACGTGGATTAATAAAATTCGTTAAAAGCAGTGATTTTATCCCACATAAAAGTAATTTTATAACAACGCCCTTATCTAATTCCCGCAGATTTACCTCTGAAAAATTAACCAAAAACTACTTTTTCCCGAGAGCAGGAGGAAGTGTTATTTTTCATTGATGGTGAGTTCTCACAAACCAAACAGGTGGACAGCGTTTAAAAATATTTATAAATATGTTTTACGTAAATTGAAACAAAATTTATCTTACATATTTACTCAATATTATATAAATTATAATTAAAGAGTTATTTATAAATCATTATAAATGGGCAAAATATAAGAGCGGCAAAATGACTTGCCACAGAAGAGATAAAAAGGTACACCATCCCGACTGTAACAAGAAGACGCTATTTTAATTTCTTCGCAATAGGCCTTTTGCGTGTGTTTGTCGAAGAAGCAAATCTCTCCAGGTGCACAGGGAAGATCTTTGCAAGCTTGTGGCCACCATGAAACCTCAAACCCAAGAGAAAGTACTGTGTGAATATCAGCGTACGAGTAGCTTTTCCCCTTCATGAATGATCTCCAATCCGAAGCAATGGTGGCCACTGGTTTCACACGACACTCAGGTTTCAACCTCTCAGCCTCCAAGTCTCCAGCCACAGCATAAACATGGCCTCCTCCTTCTCCTTTCATTCCCCAGTTCACGCAGGGGAACGTATCCAGATAGCTCGCGTCGTCCGTCACCAGATCACCACAGTTCAGGTAAATAACGTGGTCGAATGCCAGTTCTGAGTCGGGTGCTGTTCCAAGAGAGCCAAGATAGGGATTATTGTTATTATAAGCGTAGGAAAGATTGTAAGTGTCGGTGGAATTAGATAGGGATAAGAAATAGCGTGGGAGGTAGGAGCAATCGCCCTCCCGAATTCCAGGATCTTTGACTCAGATTGTGTAATTGTTGTAGTTGATTCCCAGGACCTGGTATGTTCCTGAACGCAAATCAAGCAGTGTGACGTTGTTTTCACAGGCTAACTCGTGTGCCGGGATGCCACAGCCGGGTGGGTCGTCTCGGAGAGGAAATGGATGTGAGATGTTTGTGATAATGCCGCAGTGAGATGGATTACAGGTTGTACTCTCATCCTTAGAACTCATTGTTTGGGACGTTACATAAATAAGAATGAAGAACACCAAGCCCCGCAACCTGATTAAGCCTATTTTTCCTCTACCCATCCTTCACAATGATAGCCAATGCACCCTCCTGACTCAATGGCTTCCATCTCAAATCAATCCAAGAGTTGCAGACCATTAATAAATTACAAGGTTCTTTTTAGCCCCCTGACTTTGAATACACAAGACAAAGTGGGAAATTTTATATTTCCAATCACAGCTCCCAAAGGTGGACATAGGTGTGCTTTAGACCATTAAAAATTTACATGCTTTAATTTAGCTAATCGTAACCCCTCAGCCTCACGATTCCACTTTTTAATTTCTTAAAAGATAAAGAAATTCCAGAGCCACAGGGTTGTTTTTTTATTCAAAAATGACCTGAATTTTTGCTATCAAAGAAAAGCTTTGGTTACAATAATGTGTTGCTATCAGATATTTTTGTGGTCGGTGACAATGTAGGTAGTGGTGCTGTACATGTTTATGAGTTCGGTGGGGAGAATTATGCGATGTTGGAAATTGTCTTCTAGAGCTTCCCCCCTAAGTACATATATTCTTTTATTAGAGGCAATTTTGTTTGAAGTACTGTTAGGTATTAAATGTAAACACCTCTCCCAGTAAAGATTTAAATCTTGGTTTGCTACATTATGAGGGACTTGTTCATTCTGCGAAACCTGCTCCCAATGTTTCCTAAACTATTATATCTACCACTTCAACTTCTAGGTTACAATGAATATAAAACCAAAATTGTTCAGTGAGTTCTTATCGGTGATATTAATAACGACATGCCTCAAGCTTCAATTATGCTCTCCCAAATGACATAAAGCATCTCCCTTAAGAATTTAAAATGTGAGATTATGAGTTTGAACCCTCTACTATAAGGGATAATGAGTGCCTGAGTTATGATAAGGAAAAATAATATGATGCATGATCTAAAATTATGTGCAACCCACAAACATTCCACTATCTAATTTTAAAGATCAATATTGCCTATAATCCATTTTTTCGAAAGAACAAATCAAACAAATCTATATAGTATGGTAAGAGAATCACTTTCCTTTTACACCATGCCAGATAAGAGGCAAGGGGTGAGCTGACGTCATAACAGCTTGACAGGAACGTCTAGATTGATACAAACAAAAAATGTTGCCTGTTTATTATACTTTTATTAATATCATTTTACAATTCTTCACTTATTTTATTTTATCTTTTAGTACATCTAAATTTGGTTCTCATATAAACTATATATGTAATAATACTCTGCTCCTGTGCCGAGTTACTATTCCTTTTTGTTTCTTGGTATGTTGTGTATTTAGTATTTTTTATTTAATTCCTCTAAAGGGTAAATTAATGAAGAGGAAATTCAGTTTCAAAAAGAATTCGAAAACCAAATATGAGATTGGGAATATGTTCATCTGTTTTATAGGGGCCTGCATTCTTGAACTTATCTTTAACTGAAGACCTTCTATTGGAAAAGGCAGCGGATTACTGTTCTGAGGCAGTGGCATATTCAAGCCACCACACATACACACACAAACACCATTTTTGTTATGTGATTACTATATATATATATATATCCATTAACAAAATCATCTGGAATAATGTTAGCATAGAGAATGAGTTCAAAGAGATTATGATTCATTAGTCCTTATACATATCATTACATCATAAGTAAAAGTAAGATATGAAAGCATACAAGAGCAAAACCCAAATCAGGACAGCAACTAAGCATTGTCATGAAATACAAATTTACAAGTTAAATGCATAGTATTATGTCTTGTCACTTGCATCCTCTTCTAGATTGCCATCAGAACTTGTGGGTAAAGATGATGTTTGGTCACAGTTGGCTCTGACATTATCATCAGGATATATAGAAGGTTTTGGAGGCATCTCAAGACTTTGAACATCGTCTACTTCTAACATCTCTATTACTTTTTTCATTGAAGGACGATCAGCAGGATTAAACTGAATGCACCATAATGCTACTATGAACATTTTCTTTGCTAAAGCTTTTTCCTCTTCTATCAAATCCTCCATTTCTATACCTTTCTCTTCATCAAATTGGTCATAGATCCATAAGGGAAAATATAATTGGCTTGAATGCTCTGCATGCGGATTTAAGTTTCTTCTTCGGCTCGTCATTTCCATTAAAAGCATTCCAAAACTGTAAACATCAGATTTATAGGACACTTTTCCAATATTCTTATAGAATAGTTCAGGAGCTATGTACCCTATTGTCCCTCTTGCTGCAGTTAAAGTGGCAATGCTATTATCACTAGAATATAGCTTTGCTAGTCCAAAGTCTGAAATTTTGGGGGTCAAGTTGTCATCAAGAAGAATATTATGAGGCTTGATATCAAAATGCAAGATTTGCATGTCACAACCATGATGAAGATAAGCAATGCCACGAGCCACTCCTAAAGATATCTCATATATCTTATGATAATTCAAGGAGGATTGTCCTTCTTTAACAAAAATATGTTTATCCAAAGATCCATTGGACATGAATTCATAAATAAGAGCATGTTTAGTTCCTTCCACACAAAAGCCCACAAGACGTACCACATTGAAATGGTGTATCCTTCCTATAGTTGCCACCTCATTGATGAAGTCTTGGCAAGTAGCTTTGGATTCATCACCCAACATTTTAATTGCGACATCAGGTCCACTTCTTAACTTGCCTTTGTACACAGTCCCAAAGCCTCCTTCACCTAACTTAGTCTTGAAACATTTTGTCATAGTCTTTAAATCCTTGTAGGAGTACCTTAATGGATGAAGGTTATGAAGTCGTATGAAATCCTCAATGCTTCCATAGCCTGATAAGTGTCTTCTCCGCCATGTGTAAATCAACAAGATGAACAGAAATAATATACCAACCAGAAATCTTAGAATAATGACAGTGAAAACATATCCTGTGATTTTTCCCAAGGCGAATGCAACTTGTAGTGAAATGAAATCGCCATCATATTTATCACCAGCCTCGAACTCAATCTCCTTATGCACTGACTCTGCAACTGCGCGTGTACATATTTTCCACAAACGTCATAAAATTGGTTTGTCCCAATAATATGATTAACAAATAAAGTCACTCAAAAGAGAGTTTTCTCAAATCAAAGTGTGTGTGTCTGTATATATTCAACTTCACAGGAAGCCACAGTTTTCATATGTAGGTTATAACTAGTACTCTTCTAGTCATATTTATAGTACAGAGAGTGAAATTTTTGTTTTTCATATGAATATACAATGTTACTATTCATTTATTATTGTGTCAATTTTGTTCTTATATTGTATAATGTACATTAAATAGGGATAAAGTTAGAAAATTGTTAAATTTTGAACAAGCTTTAAAAGTTAACAAAGTTTAAGGTTTTTCTTTATTTATATAAAACATGTTGAAAATGACTTATAAAAAGGATCAAAGAAGCACAACTTATATTTAATTTTGTGTTAAACATGGACTCAAAATAAACGAAAGCATTTTTTTGGGAGTAATAACTGTGCGTAATTTATTTTTACCAATAAACATGATAGATAACATAATTTAATTTTTCGCAAGTGTATATGATATAAGACGCATACATACACATACATATTAGCTTACTCAACTTATGAACATATAGTTACAATGCACACTATTTTCACAATACAATCATTGAATTAAGGAATAAAACATATTAAATAAATGTACAAACGAACATATTAGAAAATAAGGGTTGGCTATACTTTATTCTCTCCATAGTTTATTTATGTATAGACTCAAATCTTGTTATTTTTACTTTATTAACTTTTAAATTGTGACAACTTTTGCTCCTTAACAATACATTCAGTCATAGTCATTTTTTAACCCTGGAGAAATTAAAAGTCATGTGGTAAAATTAATCATGTTGAAGTGCAAAAATAAAATTGAGAAAAAATATATCGTAAGGAATATATATTATCAATTTACTTATAACTATTATATTGTTTATAAATAAACAATAATATTCCGAATTCCATATAATTGTACGTATGAATATATGATATAGTTCAGGATCTTACGCTTATGAATATCCTTAGAAGATAGCAAACCTGCAAGAAAAAATTCACAGAGGTCAAGGGTAACACTTAGAGCGGGACATGTGCGAAAATCTCCTTCCGAAAGAAGAAAGAAAAAAAAAATTATTATGCAATTTTATATAAATAATTAATCATTGAAAAATCCTCCAACAAATTAATAGCATAAACAAAATCTGGTACAGAAAATAACAATAGGTCATTGCATAAGTGTCTATGACAATAACATATAGGAAATAAAAAAAATTAACTTAATAAAAAAACAATGAGTTCACGACATTACCAGTAAGAATGCCAACGAGAAAGTCTGCACAGGAAATTTTACAAAAGTCAAATATATGAACGACAACTATCCGAAGGAAAGTAATGATTATTTTTAAATGTCCCTCAAGAGTTATATAACTTATATTTCAAAGGTACAAAATTGATACTCTTTTTTTTTTTTTTTACAAACCAGGTGGCATCCCACCACCAATAGGTAGAGGCTAATTCAAGGACATCATATTTAAGGGACTCAGCAATCTACCAATTGTGTCGGTTTTTGTTGGTGATACTCTTTTATTTTAAATATAAGAAATATTTAGTGCTTAATATAAGAGTTATTTAATTAATTTGAGTAGATTAACAAAGTTAGCTATTTATAACAAGTATGAGTTGATTTTTTTAAAGTACTCTTTTGATCATGATTATCCTTGGATAAAAACTGTCTTGATATGTGTAATCAATAGAAATACTTTAGATAATGAATTATAAATTTAGAAGATAAAATGAATTAAGTCTTACATTTAGAACCAGATTCAATTTCCAACTAGCTCTTATATTAAAAACCAAAGATGGAGTTAGGAAGTTGGTTTTAATCTTAAGTAATTTATTTAATTTTCTTAATCTATCCAAATTAATTTAATAACTCTTACATTAAAAACCAGAAGAGTGTCTGATCACTTCTTAATGTTCTTGTTATTTAATACTCCTCCGTTTCTTCATATATGACTTAATTGTTGAGTTGATCTTGATCCTAAATGTAAGACCTATTTCTCATGTTGATTAGTTTCTCTTAAATTATTCTTATTGATACTCTCTCAATCATAATCAAGCAGGTGAGGAAATGATGATATTAAGAAAGATAATTATGATGTTTTAAGAGAAACATATCATATTTTTTTATAATTAACTATGTTGCCTAACATTTTTAATCTAATTAAATTAGTTCAGTAGGTTTTATATTAAAAAGAGAAAGAATAGTAAGAATTAAAAATTGAATGAAAAAATATTACCTTTTACACGAGTGCTCAGATATGCCGCCTTTCCTGCCGCATTCAACAGTAAAGCATAATATTAATTTCTTTAGATGATATATTTAAAAATTAATCTTACGAAATAAGAGATAAATTGAATAATTTTCTTAGGAAAAATTATTATATGGAATCAATGCTACTGAATACTGATCTATGATGGAATTTTTTGGGATCATATTCTTTCTTTGTTTTTATTTATTTATTTATTTTGAGTTCTCACAAACTAAACAGGTGATAAGGCAACGGCAAAAATGACTTACCACAAAAGAGAGAAATAGATACTCCTTCCAAACCGAAACATGAAGTCCCAGAAACTTGTGAGCAATAGCCCTTTTGCGTGCGATCGTCGAGGACGCAAGTCTCGTAAGTTCCGCAGTGAATATCCAGACAAGCTAGCGGCCACCATGAAATCTCAAAACCATGGGAAAGTACTGTGTGAATATCAGCATATGAGTAGCTTCTCCAGTCCAGGAATGAACTCCAATCTGAAACAATGGTGGCCACTGATTTCACACGACACTCAGGTTTCAACCTCCCAGCCTCTAAGTCTCCAACTACAGCATAAACATGGCCTCCTCCATCTCCTTTGGATCCCCAATCCACGCAGGGAGCCGTATCCACGTAGTCCGCATCGTCCCTCACCGGATCACTACAATTTAGGTAAATGATGTTGTCGATTGTAGCTTCTGAACCTGCGGATGCTTCTAGAAAGACAGCATAGGGATTATTCCTATCATATTCGAAGGAACCATTATAAGTGTCGCTGAAATTAGATCGGGATAAGAAATAGCGAGGGAGGGAGGAGCAATCACCCTCCCGAATGCCAGGATCTTTAACTCGGATTGTGTAATTGTTGTAGTTGATTCCCAGAACCTGGTATGTTCCTGAATGCAAATCAAGCACTGTGATGTTGTTTTCACAGGCTAACTCGTATGCCGGATCGCCACAGTTGGGGGGGTCGTCTCGCAGACGAAATGGATATGAGATGTTTGTGATAATGCCGCAATGAGACGGATTACAGGTTTTGCTCTCATCTTTAAAACTCGTTGTTTGGGATGTCACATACACAAGAGTGAAGTACATCAAGCCCCAGAACCTGATTAAGCATATTATCCCTCTACCCATCCTTCACCGTGATAGCCAATTCACCCTCCTAATTCAATGGCTTCTCATCTCAAGTCAATGAAATTCATTCTTTTTTAAACTGTATTGCAGCCCATTAATCAATTATGAGTTTCTTGCCCACTATGTTTGACTACGCGTGATAAAGTGGAAAATTTTTTATTTTCAATCACAGCTCCCAAAGGAAGAAATGGCAATGCTCTAGCCCACTAAAAAATTATACGCTTTAGCTAAGACCCCTCAAGCTCACCGTTGCCTTTTCTTTCCTTTTTGAAAACACAAAGAAATTCCGAAGCCACATGGTTGTTTTTTAATTCAAAATTGACCTGAAATTTTTGTCCTGCTCAGTAATGATGTTTCTGGGCAGCATCCCCCTTCCCCTGCTCTATTTCTTCTTCATGTGATGCCATGTTAGTTATACTTATATGTGGGAATTTGAATTTTAAGTTCGATTAAAAGAAAAGGTTCGGTCGCAATGGTTTGCTGTCAGAGAGCTTTGTGGTTGGTGATAATGCAGTTGTTGGTGCTGCTTATGAATCTGGGGAATGCTCAGAACCAGTGTGTCCCTGCTGATGAAAGTGTTCCGTTCCGTCTAGTACAGGCCACACTTGATAGTAATCCCTGTTCTACTACAACTAACAATGTGGAGATGGTTGAGTTCCCGGGAGTACCGGCTCTTCAAGGAGTTAGACTCGCCGTCTTAGAAAAACACTATAAGTCCCGCATCTTAAAATTATGTGATGTTGAAGGCTGTCTTCCTAAACTCTTTCTACGACTTCATCATTCATCCATTTATCCTTTCCAATTTGAAACAGTTAGGTCGGCATCATCCAACAAAAGTTTCGGTGTTACATTTTTCAATTGTTCCTCGATTGGGTCGGAATACTTGAAAAACGATGATTACGTGTTCCAAGCAAATTTGCATGTTTGTCCCATTTATGTTGTTGGCTCCACCGAAGGTATCCTTGAGAGGGACGTGACCTCTTGCACCAAGATGTTGCAGTTAGATTCACCATTAGACCAAGATGATTTTCTGTTCAACAATTTTAACTTTAGATGGCCCCACCCCAAATGTGATGTCGATAGCAGCAAGACAATATTATTCAAATTTGTTTTACCAGCTTCAGGTAAAGATAGTTCACTTTGCTTCACCTTCAATTTTTCACCATTTGGTTTTTGAATGTTCCTTGGATTGAAATTAAATGTTAGATTAATGTGCTCGGCAACTACACAGGTTCAATTGCGTCAGTTTTGTGCATTGTGTTCCTTCTACTAATATATCGCTACTTCAAAACGAAAGGAGATGATCATGCAACGCTTGAAAAGTTTTTGAAGGATTACGAAGCTCTCAAGCCTACAAGATTTTCCTATGCTGATCTCAAAAGAATTACAAACAATTTCAAGGATAAAATAGGCGAAGGAGCTCATGGATCAGTGTTCAAAGGTAAGCTATCCAATCAGATTATAGTAGCTGTGAAGTTACTCAACAACTCTGATGACGATGGGAAGGACTTCATTAATGAAGTCGGGACTATGGGTAAAATTCATCACATCAATGTCGTTCGTTTGCTTGGCTTTTGTGCTGATGGTTTTCACCGTGCTCTTATTTATGACTTTTTTCCAAATGGTTCCCTCCAAAAGTTCATATCTTCCCCAGACAACAAGGAAAATTTTCTTGGATGGTTGAAGTTGCAACAAATAGCTCTGGGCGTAGCCAAAGGGATTGAATATCTACACCATGATTGTGATTATCAAATTCTTCATTTTGACATCAATCCTGGTAATGTGTTATTAGATCATAACTTTACTCCCAAAATTTCTGATTTTGGTCTAGCAAAATTGTGTTCCAAAAATCAAAGTGCTGTGTCGATAACAGCAGCTAGAGGAACTTTAGGCTATATTGCACCTGAGGTTTTCTCTAAAAACTTTGGAAATGTGTCATATAAATCAGATGTCTACAGTTATGGGATGTTATTGTTAGAAATAGTTGGAGGAAGGAAAAATACCCACACAAGTGAAGAAGCTTTCCAAATTTTATATCCAAAATGGATCCATAATTTGATTGAAGGGGGAGACATAAATATTCACATTGAAGATGAAGATGACAATAAAATTGCTAGGAAACTAGCAATTGTGGGACTTTGGTGCATCCAATGGCATCCGATCAGTCGTCTATCCATGAAAACAGTGATACAGATGTTAGAAGGAGAAGGTGATGAATTAAAAGTGCCCCCAATTCAATTTGACTCCAGAAATTCTATTAATACAAGGATCAACATTCCAGCAAGACATTTGAATTTGGGATTGGAAATTATTCATGAATTAGAATAAGAAGCATCCTCATGTAATTTGTATTTCTATTGGAAAATATTTTGTCAGAGTTTATGATATTGTGTTGTGTTGGTGATGCAAATGAACTTTGTTTATCATGCATGCAAGTGCAAATGCAAAAATTTTTTTTTTTCATTTTAGCGTTGTAGCCTTTTATATTTCGCATTATCTTTGTAGATTTGGGAGTACTGTCTTGGGTTAGAAATTCTTAATGAAAAAAAAAAATTAAATGAGAACTTGCCAATAAAGATTTGTTAATAAGAATTGGTCTCATTCTATAATGTTTTGGAATATATTTGTAAGCGTTAATAATAAAATTACTCCTTTTTGTATAGTATAATGTGGATAATCTGTATATCAGATAGTGAAATACAAACTCCCCTTTTTTATAAGACAGTTTATAAATAAAGAAATGGATTCTAATTTTTTTGTTATATTTTCAATATATAAAAAGAATTAAAAAAATAATTTGATATGTTGTGCGAGATAAGTATATGAAAAATTTATCATAAAACACAAAAAGAAATTTAATACCAAACACGTGCTTAAACCTTGGTTTTTTTTACCAGCAACTTCCTTAAACTTATCCAGTGTGCAGGACTAGCCTCACTATAAATGAGAAATGACAGCAAGCAACAATGGTCATTTCCAAGTTGCATGCAAGGATGGTATCATATGTGGTGATCAAGATCAAGAGATCTCACAATAGTCTCAATCGTAATTTAATTTATTTTGGCCAGACAGTTTTAATATAATTGTGGTGATTTAATTTTACATTATTTCTGGACAATTCATTAAGAATGTTGATATTTATTTATTTTTAAGCATAAAAAATTAATAGTCGACATACTGAGGATTATACTGAGTTTTGCATTTACCCATGTAGAGATTCAATAATGGCCCTATGTTTTAAAAGTCATAAAAAGAATTTGTTTCTTATTAAAATAAGTGTAATATGCTATCACACACGTGCTATTAGGTCAAAGAATAATGAACATAAAAATTCTAAGGCATATTTTTTCCCCCCGTGTTCATTACTAGAAAACAGATCCATGTTGTCAAAGGTAGTCAAAATTAGTGCATTACTCTGCATTTTTTATTTGAATTCATATACGTTATATGGTTTATTTTATTGGAGTTATAAGTTAGTGCTTACATTATAGAACACTAGCCAATTTTTTATATTTGAAAGTGATAGTGTTTAGGTATAATTTTGACCTATATTAGTATTGGTTATTATATTGATTCTTTCATATATTGTTTTTAATTAGTGCATGCCATGTATAAACGGTGCTACCAAACATCATATAAAATAATCCCATGTTGATAGCAATCTCATCAATTTAAATAGATAGCAATCCTTTTCACATCCGTGCTTCTCATATTTCTATACGTGTGTGTAAAAAGAGTTTGGAATCTAAAGATAATATATATATATATATATATATATAATGTTGAGCTTATCTTGGATGAGCTTCGCAGGGATAATCCTTTATTCACTGTAGTTGCCTTTTGAATAATTTTTTTCCGCAAAAAAAAGGTGATCATAAGAATCACTTGCAGAGTTTTAAATTTGTGCCTGAAAGAAACTGCCATGACAAATATTGTAATTTCCCTCTCACCAGATTCCCTATGATATTTATACATATATATATATATATATATATATTTATAATCCCATTATAGATGGAACAGGGCCACTTAAAAATAATTGTGAAGGGAGAAAACGATTTAATAGATTTCTTTTAACTATACACAAATATCCTCTTATTATAAATTCTGTTTAAGACACTATTGGATATTAAATATGGGTACATCTCTCGATAAGAATTCAAATTTTGATTTATTATGTTATGGAATGCTAACCTCTTTTATTAGACCTAACCTCCGTGAATAACCCGTTCTAATATTTGATAGATGGTGGTTTGGCCTAAATGATAATGATATGAAAAGGAAAAGGGCGCGGAGAATATGAGAGAGATCTGAAGAAAAGAGAGGAATTCAAAATATTTGGGAATTTATTAAATCAATAATCAGTTAAATATAAAGGAGATTGATTCACTTGCTAATGCTACTCATGCTGAGTTAGCAAGCCAATCTGGTATCTGGCACGTGAAAAAAAAAAAAAAGTTATTTTGGAACTTTTGATATTTTTAATAATTTGAAATTTTGGGGTTGTTTCTCCACATGACCATATGCAAGCAGGGTCTCAAGCTCAAATTTCATCCTCTTGGGCCTAGAAGGTGTATCATTGGGCCTCTTATATCGATAATGGACTGAAGTGGCCGTTAACCATTGTTTTAATTATTAAAAAGCATTTTTTTGGGCCAAAAAAGCAATGTTATTAAAAACAAGTAAAAAAGATACACTTAAAAGGTCTTTTTCACGTTGCCAACGTAATAGTAAAGAACTCGGTTATCTTTTTAAGGATGAGAATTAGAATCTTATGAATGAAGAGAAGTCATATCTGGAGACTGGAGATCTATCTCTGAGCATATGTGAGATAATGTGAGGAAGGTTTAAATTGCTTTAGCCTATTCAATCTGAATCTCTTTTCTTTTTTATCTCTCCTCCACCTGACTGATATTGTGTAATGTGACAAAATCTTCGTGTGGGTTCATATCATAATTTCTTGTAATAACATAATAAATTAAATACACTTTTTTATTGAATGATATGTAGTAGTTACCCAAGTTTGTAGATGTGCTATTTATATACCTATACATATAATATAAAATTTAAAGGAAACTAAACTATTTATAACTTAGTGAACAATACAACTCATTTCGAATTATCTATGCAAAGCATAAACATCTACAATCTAATTCTTCTAAAGCAAAATGTTGCCTTGAATCCTTTTTCCAATAAACCGAAGTCTTTGTGTTGGAAATAGGAAGTGGATTTCTGTTCTGTAGTGGCACATTCAAGACAATGCATACCATATTTACTATTCTCTGATCCTATTTATAAATCACTTTCAACATGTTATTAATAAAATGAGTTCACAGAAGAAATTAACAATCATTATACACATCATTACATCATTATTAAAAGTAAAAATAAGATTTAAATTATAAGAGCAGAACCCAAACCAGGACAACAACTAAGTATGGTCACAAAGTACAAATTAATATGTTATAAATGCAGAGTATTATTCCTGCATGTTGCTTGCATCCTCACATAGATTGGAATGAGAACACGTGAAGGATAAAGATGATGTTTCATCACAGTGGGGTCTGTCATTTGTAGGATACAGAGAAGGTTTTGGAGGCATTTCAAGACTTGAAGCATCATCTACTTCTAACATCTCTATTACTTTGTTCATTGAAGGGCGATCGGCAGGATTAAACTGAATGCACCATAATGCTACTATGAACATTTTCTTTGCCAAAGCCTTTTCCTCTTCTGTCATATCATCCATTACTTCTATATCTTTCTCTTCATCAAATTGGTCATAAATCCATGATGGAAAATATAATTGGCTTGAATGCTCTACATGTGGATTCAAGTTTCTTCTTTGGCTTGCCATTTCCATTAAAAGCATTCCAAAACTATAAACATCAGATTTATGAGATACTTTCCCAATATTCTTATAGAATAATTCGGGAGCTATGTATCCTATGGTCCCTCTTGTTGCAGTCAAAGTGGGAATGCTATCATCAATAACATATAATTTTGCCAGTCCAAAATCTGAAATTTTTGGGGTCCAATTGTTATCAAGAAGAATATTATGAGGCTTGATATCAAAATGCAATATTTGCATGTCACAACCATGATGAAGATAAGCAATGCCACGAGCCACTCCTAAAGATATGTCGTAGATTTTGAGATAACTTAAGGAGGCACTTTCTTCTTTGACAAAAATATGTTTATCCAAAGATCCATTGGACATGAATTCATAGATAAGAGCACGTTTAGTTCCTTCCACACAAAAGCCAACAAGACGTACCACATTGAAATGGTGTATCCTTCCGATAGTTGCCACCTCATTGATAAAGTCTTGACAAGTAGCTTTGGATTTATTGCCCAACATTTTAATTGCGACATCAGGTCCGCTCCTTAGCCTCCCTTTGTAGACAGTGCCAAAGCCTCCTTCACCCAACTTACTCTTGAAATCTTTTGTCATAGTCTTCAGTTCCTTGTATGAGTACCTTATTGGATGAAGGTTATGAAGTTGTATGAAATCTTCAATGCTTCCATAGCCTGACAAGTGTCTTCTCCGATATTTGTAAATCAGCAAGATGAACAGAAATACCATACCAACCAGAAATCTTAGAATAATGGCTGTCGAAACATATGCTGTGATTTTTCCTAAGGTGAATGGAACTTTATCACCACGCTTGTATCCAAAACCCCTTTGCCTTAAAAAAGGCTCTGCAACTGCACGTTTATATTTCCACAAATTAAAGGTCATAAAATTGGTTTGTCCAAAAATATGATTAACAAAGTCGCTCAAAAGAAAATTGTTTCTCAAATCAAAGTCAATATATATTTCCAATCATATAGAGCACATTTTTCATATGAAAGTTATAAATAATACAGCTTATATTAGAAGCATGCTGACAATATAGTTTATGGAAAACTTTTTTTTTTTTTTGGCAATAACTACGCGTAATTTCTGTTTATGATTAAAATATGGTAGCTGGCGTAATTTAATTTTTAATAAAACACACTTACACACGTACATATTAACCTACTCAACTTATGAACTTAAAATGCACTTAACACGCGTTATTTTTTTCCGGCCAAGTAACTATGCATATTTATAAAGTTTATTTTTCAGGAAAAAGTTTAATAACACGCACGTATGGTTATAATGCACTTATTTTCACAATCTAACCAATGAATTGAGGAATAAAACATATTAAAAATATCTCAAAATAGGTATATCTTAAGGAATACATACTTCTCAATTTAACTATAAAAATTATATAAATATTATATTTTATAAATCAAAAGTAACATTTCAAATGCCCTATAATTGTGCATGTGGATATATGATAGTTTACGATATTACAATGATTAATACGCTTCGAAGATGACAACCCTGCAAGAAAATGTTCACAGACGTCAGCTGTAACAAACACCACGACAAGGACATGTTCGAAAATCCCCCCCCCCCAAAAAAAACTATTTTTAAATTTTGTGCAATCATTCAAGCCTACATAATTATTTTTCTCCGCTAAAAAAAATCTCCCAGAAAAATTAAGTCAACATAAGTAATGCAACTTATTTTTAAATTTTGTGCAATTACACAAAGCCTGCATAATATTTTCTTCTAGCATAAGAGGTAAGCTCTGCCTACTGAGATTATCTTCCCGGGCTACTGTAAGGACAATATGTGTGTGTATGAAATTCAAACTCGATCCAAATCATTTGCTTAGGCAACTAGAATTCATACCACTCACTCCAACTGGAATTGGCATTTACACAGGCCAATATAAAAACAACTCCACCAAATTTTAAATATAAGAATTAAATAATTAATTTATAACTATTAAAAATAGTTAAATTAATTATTTTTTAAAAAACAGGTATTAATTTTTCTAAAATATTTTTTATTTTAATCATACTCTCACCATGATTGCATACATTTGAAAATTATTAAAAAGCCTAAGTCCCTTTAAAATATTTGATGCTTATATTTTTAACCAAATGAGTATTATTTAACTAATTTAAAATAAAGGTTGATTGGAAAATGAACTAGAGATGTACCATAAGAGAGAAAGAACAAGTTTTCTTTTTTAGTACAAAAAATTTAGATGAGTTAAATTATGAGCTAATTCTTTATTAACTAAACTAACTTTTGTCAGGGAGAGAGAACAAACTGCTTAGCTGCTTGTGCTTATAAATTGTGCACCAAGAAGTATTAGTCCAAGTGGAAAGGACTTTGACACCTTGAACATTATGTTTGGGTTCGATCTTTAGGATGATGTGTATGAAAAAAAACACTATTAGAAAGAGTTCTCATTACGGTGCCTCACAGTATCTTGAGATATTAGTCTCTTACTTTTTGGGTAGGAGGATACTCTGAGCAAGAACAAAAAAAAGAAAAAAAAAATTGTGCAGGCCCAATTGTTATTTACCCCTCCACCAATGGCAGGCACACAAAAGGAGAATACAAATTAAAGCAGTGAAAAGGCCGTCCCGATGAGAACGGTTTTATTTACAATTTAAAAAGAATAATATCACATCAGCAATGAGATGGAAGTCGTTCTTTTTTTGAAAGAGTTTTGTATAAATTTGAAGCTGTTCCAGACATGAATGGCTTTAAATGGAACATCTTGATAAATATTTTTTAAAACATAGTATTTGTCTATTTGAGTATTTTTATTTACTGTTTATAATACATAGGTTAAAAAGCCTAACCCTCTAATGCCCCAACATCTTTAATTTTTCTTTTTATCGTTAGTTTCTTTAACAATTTTTTAAAAAATAAATTAAAACTACATAATTTTTGGGTTTTTTAAAAAATCGTAAAAAATATTAAAATTGCATCATTTGGTAACTACTATATTATGCTGCCATAATATCTTTTACTTTATATAAAAACTAATTATAAAAAATTTAGAAAAATGAGCATTACAATAAGTAATAAAAAGGTGAGGCATAAAGCAAAACCCACTAGAAAACTTCCAGTGCTTCGAAACTTCACGCTTTATTTAGTGTTTGAAACCTCCTAAAATAATCACTTTTGTATCTAATGAAATTTTTTTACTTATTTATTTCGAAAAACCATTTTATAGGTACTTATAATTTTGCTCAATTTTTAATTTGATATATATGCGTTTTTCTTTTCTAAATAAATACTATAATTTTTACTCTATTAGCATAATTAGTTTTCACATACAAGCTAACGGTACTAATAGAATAAAGTTATAGAAGCTAACAGTACTAATAGAATAAAATTAAAGTGTTTAAAAGGAAAAATATATAGATACCAAATTAAAAATTAATGAAAATTATAACTGCAGTAGAATGATTGTTTTCCCCATTTATTTCAAACATCTTTAAACATACACTTGTGAGCTACCAAAAACTTAGTAAGCTGCCTAAGGTGTCGCCAGTTATAAAATCATAGGGACTGATGAGACAAAGTGAGGGTGACATGAAAATTTAAAAACAACTAAAAACCCATTTTAGATTTATTTATAAGTAAATTTTAACCAAAATTTTTAAAATACAAAATAAATATGAATATAAAATTTTGTTTCGATTTAAAAAAATATATTTGTAAATATTTTTGAACGTGATTTTAAATAGATCTAAATTGATAGAAAGGGTCATGAATAGACCAAAATAAATTCTAAATAACAGGAAGCCAATAGAACGTGAACAAGTGTCGTATGTATGAGTTCGAGACATTACCTGCAACAATCCCAAGGAGAAATGCTGGAAAGGAAATTTTGCAATACTCAATATCGTTACCGCGGGCAAGGTTAAATATTTTATAATAATCAACTAAAATCAAATCTAGATTATCTAATTTTATTCCTCATAACACGGCCAAAAATGGCTCTTTTCTTCTGTCAGTTCATTCCCGAATAAAATAATTTCTTAAAAAATGGTATAGATGCTTAAGTCATAGTACTATCTCCAATCTTATTTATAAGACCTTGTTTATAAATTATAAATAAGGTCTTATAATTAAAATTAAAAATAGTATTACACAACTCTAAATCACCCCGTTATTCATCATACTAACAATCTGTTGGCGTAACTTTATCAGATCAACAGCACAATTGAAAAAGTCGAAGCAAAAATAAAAATTGAAAGTTCAATACGTGTGGATGAATTGTACGAATATGTAAATATTTTCTGGCAAAAACTATCTAAAATTTGTTATCTTATTTTACAAAAGAAAATTAAAACTTTTTGTCCTAAACAGCTTAAAATTAAGTCCCTTAAAAAAGCTAAAAAAATCAATTAAATCCAGCTGAAATATAAAAATTCAAATTGAAACATGTACTTTTAATAAATCTTTAATTTGGCCAGTAAATCTTTAAGGAAAAATAACACAAAAATAACACTTAAACTTGAAAATGCCAAAATAATCACTTGAATTTACAAAATCCCAATTTAGTTGTAAGTGACTAATTTGACATTTGTAAATTTGCTAAAATAACCACATAACCCTTTATTTTATTTATTGTTTTTTAAAAAAACCAAATGCCCCCACTAGCCGGCTAGTCACCGAAACTCTGGTACCGACGGCTATTGCTAGAGCTCAAGTTGCCACCGTCACTAGAGCTCTAGCGGCCGACAATAATTTTTCTAAAAATTTTTACAAATTAAGTAAAACGGTTAACAAATTTTATAATGCTATCAACAAGTTTAATATGACAATTAAAAACAGGTTTTTAAAAAAATTCAAAAAGTAGCATTTCTACAACTTCAGTAATGCCGTTAACAAGTTCCGTAACTCTATTAATAACTATAGTATAACATTTAACAACAGATTTTCTAAAAAAATTTATAAAAAAAAGACATTTTTACAACTTTAGTAACTACTTTTTTAAAAAAAATTTACAATTTCAGTGAAACAATTAACAAGTTTTGTAATACTATTAACAAGTTCAATATAATATTTAATAACAGGTTTTTCAGGAAATTTAAAATGTAGTATTTTTACAACTTCAGTAATACTGTTAAAAAGTTCCATAACTCTATTAACAAGTTCGGTATAACATTTAACAATAGGTTTTCTACCAAATTCAAAAAATAACATTTTCACAACTATAGTAACGCGGTTAACAAGTCGTGTAACGATATTAACAATTTTCATAAAAGGTTGATATTTATTTGTTAATTATTTAAACATTTATATGTCAAACATTTATATTTGTTAAAAAAACACTACTTTTTCATGCAGCCAAAAATTATTTTAATACATATATTTTTAAACCTTCTAATATGTTATAAAATTTATTAATTTATTAATTTAGATTATATTATAAAATTTTATAATTTTAATTTTCATGGCGTCAATTCAAATCTATTTATTTAGATTTTTATTACATGGCTCAAAATATTTTAAAGGAACTTTTTTTTATTATATAATCTAAATTATGTAAGTTTGAGAGATTATATAAATAATTTAAATTTAATATTTAAAATTTTCAAACAAAATTTTTGTTACAAACATTTATAAACATATTTACTTAATTATAAATTTATTTAAAGAATTAATCAAATTTTTATGGTCTACATTAATTAAGTTATTTAAGTTTTTGTCCCCAAAAAAATTGAACAAATAAATGTTTGCAAGGAAAATAAAATTAAGGAAAAGAAATAAACTTTAAAAGATTCTTTGGAAAAATTTTAGTCAAGATTAAGAATTTAATATGAAAAAAAAGTAAATAAAAATTCTTCTAATATAATTTTTAATTAAAAAAAGCATCTTGTCGAAATATTTTTAACCGAGTTGATGGTATAGATTTAACTATATGTTTTTTAAATAGAGAAAAATTTTATATAATTAAGGCAAAATAAAGGGGAGGTTCAAGTATTTTACTTTTTTTTTAATGAATTCTAGTCTTGTGATTGGGTCTCAAAACTCCTTTAAACAAGTTTAAAATTTATTATTCTCCCATAAAAAATGGAAGAATCTCAATTAATTTAACTGAAATACAAAAATTCAAATTTAGGCCTACACATTTAATAAATCTTTAATTAGGCCAATATGCCTAACAAGGGATTTCTGAATGTCAATAAAAAGACGACAATGCCCCTTTTCCTCTTTAGTTGAAAAGAAGATTAAAAATAAATGTAACTCTGATTTCAAATTTGATAATTTTAATTTTTCATCGCATCAATCCAAATCTATTTATTTAAGCACTTTTTTTTCATTATATTAGAACAGAGACTAATTGAAAATAATTATTTTTAACTTGTTCTCAAACGATGGTCTACTTTTTCAGTATAATTTTTTTTTAAATGTCACCCATGAGTTGTATTTCAAAGCTACGAATTGTTATTCAATTGTGAGAATTAAAAATTGGAGAAAAACTATTACCTTTTACGCGCTTGCTGAGATATTCGGCCTTTCCTGCAGGATTCAACAAGGAAACATAGCATTAACTCAAAATTCTAAAATCTTAATACAGAGTAATACGTTAAAAAGAAAAAAAAATAGAGTAATTGTTATGAAAATGTCGAAGAAAATAAGGACAACGTAATAGAAGTAAGAAAGAGATGGAGAGCATGTGAATGAGAATTCTTCCCCATTACTTATCTCTACATCTCTCTCTTTTACTCCTATTAAGATTCTATGTGACCGAGAATTCTCTTCCATTACTTATCTCTACATCTCTCTTACTTCTATTACATTATCCTTATTTTTTTCAACATTTTCATAACAGTAATATTGCAAATATCTGGAAGACAAATTTACCCTAAATAAAAAGTCCTCTTACAATACTACTATGTTAATTGAAGGTATCAACAGAATGTTACAATTAATATATATAAAAAATTAATTGATTATCTTGTTTCATATATTTAAGACCAAATCCATGCCAAGAAAAAAAAAATTCTTCCATCCAAAACATAAGTTACAATTTTTCGGATAAGGTGGTCCCTTTAATATGAGACCGCAAGGAGTATCATTTTTCATTGATTGTGATTCTCACAAAGCAAGCAGATAAATATACAATAACGGCAAAATGACTTACCGCAAAAGAGATGAAAAGGTAATAGAGTCGGTTGGCAACTGGCCAGCGCACTTACAACTTCGCAATGGACCTTTCGCGGCTGACTGTCGAACGAGCACCTCTCGTTAGCTGCACAAGAAAGATCAGAACAACCTAGTCGCCACCATGAAATCTCAAAACCATAGGAAAGTGCTGTGTGAAGATCAGCGTAGGAGTGGCTTTTCCTCTCCAGGAATGAACTCCAGTCTGAAGCAATGGTGGCCACTGATTTCACGCGACACTCAGGTTTCAACCTCTGGGCCTCTAAGTCTCTGCCAGCCACGACATAAACATGGCCTCCTCCTTCTCCTTTGGCTCCCCAGTCCACGCAGGGAGCCGTATCCACGTAGCCCGCATCGTCCCTCACCGGCTCACTACAGTTCAGGTAAATGATGTGCTCGAATAAGAGCTCTTCAGACAATGGGTCCATAAAGACAGCATAGGGATTATTGGTGTCATATTTATAATCGCTGGAAAGATTGTAAGTGTCAGTGAAATTAGATTGGGATAAGAAATAGAGAGGGAGGGAGGAGCAGTCACCCTCCCGAATGCCAGGATCTTTGACTCGGATTGTGTAGTTGTCGTAGTTGATTCCCAGGACTTGGTACGTTGCTGTTCCTGCTGGATGGAGATGAAGCAGAGCGACGTTGTTTTCACAGGCTAACTCGTAAGCCCGGAGGCCACAGTTGGGTGGGTCATCTCGGAGACGAAATGGATATGAGATGTTTGTGATGATGCCGCACTGAGACAGATTACAGGTTTTGCTCCCATTCTTTGAGCTCATTGTTTGGGGTGTTACATACACACAAGTGAACAACGTTAAACCCCATAACCTGGTCCAGCCTATTTTCCCTCTCCCCATCCTCCACAATGATAGCCAATGCACCCTCCTAATTCAGTGGCTTCTCATCTCAATTCAATTCGGTCCCTTCTCTTTTAAACCATGTTGGGCCCATTAATAATTAATTATGAGCTTCTTTTTGCGCCCGCGTTTCACTATTCAAGGTAAAGTAGGAAATTTAATATTACTTCTAGATCTTAATATAATAGCTTCATAATTAATGTAAAGAGATTTTAAAAAATTAATTAAATTAGTTAATTATAAAAAAAATATGTGTTGTATTTTTCTAAGTTATCCTATTTAATCAGATGCACTATTATTACCTTTTAGTAGGAATGCCTTACGATTAATAGGAATATTTTTAAAAAATTAATTTGAGAGATAAAATAATTGAGCTTGTATATTTAGACCTAAATCCTTATACTGAGGAGTGTAGGTAGCATTTTCAGTCACAACTCTCAAACATAAACCGCAGACCGCAGACCCCACAACCTCACTATTTCACGAAGGTTATTTATTTCTCTCAAACCTGTTACTGGGCTAACATGTCTTAATTTTATAATAGTTTTTTATAGTCATATAAAATTTGTTCTTAAAATAAGTATAATGTGGTATCACTTGCAATATATATACTACTACCTCCTGTCCTTAATATAAAATTTCGTTTGACTTTTATTTTGATCATAATTATAAGACCCAAATCTACCTTTTCTCTCATGTTTATGTATTTTTTTAAGATAGTCCTTCTAATAATGATAATTCTAGTCAATAAACTTAACTAGCAAGGATATTTTAGAAAAGATAATACCTATTTATTACAAATAACTAACTTATCTTATTTTTTTAATCTCCTCAAATTAGTCAACTAGCTCTTATAATTAAGACCGGAGGTAGTACTTCCTATCTTTAATACAAAAACTAGTTTAATATTTAATTTGGTGCTACATATAAAACCCCAATCCACTTTTTTAAAGTAGTCTTTTTAGTAGTTGTACATGTTAAATGTTTCATCAAATATTAATTCTAGTTAATACACATTATTAGTAAGAGTATTTTAAGAAAGACAATACATATTTATTATAAATAACTAATTTAATTAATTTTCTTAATCTATTCAAATTAATTAATTAGTTCTTATATTAATTAAGTACCGGTGGTAGTATTAGGTTAATAATCAACATCAAAATTCTAAGCCATACCCCACCTTCTATTCATGACACAATACCATACACATACAGAATAGGCTCAGAAAGAAGCCGCGCATATATCAAATCAATGTAGAAAACGCTATGTTGGCAAGGTAATTTGTTTTATAAATCGTATAAAATCAATCATCAAATATATTCTTAAAAATTTGCCATACCCTATTAGTTTGAAAATGAGTCAGGTATCAGATTATAAGATTCAAATATATTCAATTAATAAGATTTAAATAACATCTTGATTGAGATTTGAATAGATAGAATTAAATAGAAAATATTATAAATGAATGCAATTCCAAATGGCTCAAGTAAAGAAATTAATAATCAATTTTGAATTTGAATATCTTAATTAGGATTTGAATCTATTAAATTAAATGAAGAGTATCATAATTAACTAATATGTCAATTGGAGACTTAAATTGAGAAATAAATAAATAATTTCAAATTTTCATCTATTTTTCATAAATTCCGCATCTCTAATTCAAATTCCATTAAAATGAATTAGAAAATATACTCCTATTACAAGTAAATCTTCAGCTATTTTAAATAATGCAATTCATTAAAATTTTAAATATAATCAAATATGCTAATCTGTACATCACATGGGGGAGAAATTTCTAATTTTGTTTTCAAAATAAGTGTAATATGGATCACGTGCTATCAGGTCAAAGAATGAACATCAAAATTCTTGGGCATATTTTTTCCTCTTGTTCATTATTAGAAAATTGATCCGCGTAAAAGGTAGAAGTCAGAGTTAGGGCACTGATATTTTTCAAGACTTCGAAAGTATGAGCCGTGACATAGGGTATGTAAAGAATTTATAACAATTTATGAGAAAAATCATCAACTATATTCTTAAAAACTCGTAATATTCTATTCGTTTAAAAATAAGTCGAGTATGAGATTATGATATCTAAATATATTCAATTAATGATATTTAAATAACACCTTGATTGAGATTTGAATAGATTGAATTAAATAAAAAAACATTATAAATGAATGTAATTTCAAATGGAGGCTCAAATAAAGAAATTAATAATCAATTTTGAATTTAAATATCTTAATTAGGATTTCAATCTATTAAATTAGATGAAGAGTATCATAATTAACTAATACGTCAATTGGAGACTTAAATAGAGAAATAAATAAATAATTTCAAATTTTCATCTATTCTTCATAAATTTCACATCTCTAATTCAAATTTCATTAAAATGAATTAGAAAATATACTCATCTTAGAAGTGAATCTTAAACTATCTTAGATAATGTAATTATTAAAATTTTAAATCTAATTAGATATGCTAAACCGTGCATCAAAAAGAAATTTCTAGTTTTGTTTTGAAAATAAGTGTGATGTGGATCACGTGCTATCAGGTCAAAGAATGAACATCAAAATTATTAGGCATACTTTTTTCCTCTTGTTCATTATTAGAAAATTGACCCGTGTAAAAGGTAGAAGCCAGAGTTAGGGCATTGATATTTTTCAAGACTTTGAAAGTATGCCGTGACATAGGGCATGTAAAGAATTTATAACAATTTATGAGAAAAATTTTATTTTAAAAAAATTAATTTTATACATTAATAATTTTTTTAAAGGAATTGTAAATGACGAAATGTCTCACTAAAATAATTGTTTTAAATATATATATGTATATTATTTTAGAGTGAATTAAGTAGTATTACGGTAGTTAAATAATAACTAAGAAACTGTTAGAATTTTAAAAGAATGCAATTCCCCCCGCCCCCACTCTTTTTTTTTCCCCTTCTCTCTCTCATCTCTTTTTTTTCCCTTCTCTCTCTCATCTCTCCCAAGTTCCAAGTCCTCTCCTCCTATTTCCTCTGTTTCTTTCTCGTCCATTTCCGAAACTCCACCTTGTTTTTCTCTTTGTTCCCCCTCCCTCACGTCCTTGCCTTCTCTTTTCTCTGTCTTTTTGTTTCTTTTCCTTTCCTCTTCAAGAAAATACTGTCCTTTGCGAGGGCCGACCACGGAACCGTAAGCTTTTTTTCCACACGTCTACTCCTTCTCTCTCTTTCTTAGAAAAAAAAATATAAAAACTAAAAATTATTAAATATCAAACAAGAAATATTAACAAAATTTTTTTATTATTTATAAATTCAGTATTATTAACATTAAATAAAATATTATTATCAAATCTAATTTGATATTTAATAACTTTTAGCTTCTTTTTTAATTATCTTTCTTTCTTTTTTTTTCAGGATCTCCATTTCTTTTACTTCTTTCCCCCTTTTCTCATGTGGGCCTTCTCTTCCTGTATCTTGCTTTCTTTTCTATTCCAAGAACGCTGCCCCACACTCTCCCCCTTCCATTTTGCTCTTCAACCTCTCTTACGTCTTCTCCTTTTCTTTCCTCTCTTTCTGTGTCTTCTTCCCCTCTCTCTCATGTCCTCTTTTCTTCAATATTTCCTCTGTTTCTTTCTTTCTTTCTTTATTTTCTCTTTGACCAACGTTCCCCTGCTCTCTCTTTCTCCCTCTCTCACAAGCTCTACTCTCTTTACAAGCGCCACCCTTTCCTTCTTCTTTCCTACTCTGTTTCTCATGTCCTCTCCTTCTCTTTCTTATGTTTCTTCCTTTCTTTTCCTTATTCTTTCCTTTATTTCTTGCACTATAGAAAACAAAGACTTAGAAGGTGTTTGGATGAAACTAAATTATAGTTTGAAGAATAACTTCTAAAGAATAAATTCTAGGAAGAATAAATTTTGTAAAAAAGTGATTGTAAGAAGTAAGAATGTTTGGATAGTTGTTATCAGAAACACTTTTTATATATACAAATTACTAAAAAAAAGCATAAGTTAATATGATAATTACATAAAAGATAGATTTTATAATATATTTTAATTTGAAGGAATAAAATTATTAATAATATATTTTTTTACCAACATAATTAATAATACATAAGATAATATAATTAATAATAATTAATATGTGTATATAATACATAAGATAATATAATTAACAAATAATTAATATGTCTGTATATATTTATAAGATATAAGATTAAATATGTTTATAAAAAAATAATTAAGGGATGTTAAAATCATATTATTATTGAAATCTACTCTGACAGGTACAATTATACTCTCCAATTTGAACCAGAAATAAAATAGATTCACTCCTCCTGAAACCATGGTTTTCGGTTCCAAAACTATGATTTTAACCCAAATCATAGTTTCGAATTATTTTTTCAAAATTGATGCTGTTTAAGTGACATCTCACCTAAATCATAGTTTTAGAGGCCCTCAAACAGGCCCTTAGAACCCTTTTGGTGTGCTAAAGCTCATTTTCCATCTGCGGCAGACTCTTCAACACGTACGGGAAGATGCGTTCTCATCAAAATTGTTGGCAACCGATGGCACGCGGGAAAATGCAAGGGTCATATTTTTCTTGAAATTTGAATAAAACGCTGAACACTTAATTGACAAAATCACGTGGAGTTGCTTCAACGCCGGCCCGATACACCATTGAATCTTCATTTTTATCGATTATTTATCTATTTTATCACTGTCACTTAGCCAACGCACACAAATTGACCAACAAGCATCAACATTTATTCAACAAGATTTTTGACAACATCCACTTCAATAAAAATGCCTTTCATATAAACTAGATATGATTTTTCAAATCTGATTTAAAATCTAATGAGAGAAGTATTACTCAATATTTTGATCATAATTTTCAAATTACAAAATGTTTTTAAATGGGTCTTATTGCATCAGGGTTGCTGGAAGGGTGACTTGAGTTTTTTTCCGAATAAAAAGCAATATCGTCATTTAACAATGTTTGACAATTTTAATTTAATCATGATAATTGATT